ACCATTAAATATTTCTGAATGTATTTCAGGGTGGATTGTGACAATAAGTAGATGCTGTCACTTGGGGTATGGGAGCATCAATACCGAAAGCAAAGCTGGTTTTGTGAGGGGTGTGTGTTTGCGTGCCTGTGGCCACGGTGTTGGTGCTAGAGTCAGAGTTTGTGAAGCAAAGCTTACACCTGGGAAATGTACAACCAGTCACTTGCTCTTTGTTTTACAGATTTCAAAAATAGAATAAAAGTACAGAAAAGTAAACTTTAATGTTTTTGCTTTCTCATCTTTGTATTTTATAAGTAGATAACCTACAACACTCAATGACATCCCCATGCCATAAGAGCATCTGCTCATTCCACGTATTAATTTGCTAAATTTGAACATCCTTTTCGCTTTTCAGAAAACTTTTCAGAAAACCATAGCTACCTGCTAAAAGTTTCCCATATCCCCATACAGACCATTTACACCATTTAGTGATGGGACTGAGGTGTTGCCAACATGGTATTGACTGAAAAAGTGCAGTCCTGCTAAGTGCTATACATCTTGCATTTTTTATTTAGTCCAGGGAAAGCTGAAGGCAAGACAATAATGTGGTGGCACATTTTCCTTTTCTGTATGTAAAGCAAAATTAACTGTCATACTTGCACAGTCTGAGTATTTTTCAGAAACTTTGCAGTTTTTATGTGCAGATGAGTGAGCTGAATACTGGCAGCACCTAAAAACGCAGTTTACCTAATGCAGACAAGTAAAGTGCTGATTCTACAGTTTCCTATGTAGAGCAATGTGTTGGGCTTTAAGGTTTGGGGGTTTTTGGGTTTTTTTGTCTTTTTTTTCCACTCAACTATATTTTACTATAAAATTGATCAACTTGATCTAACAAAACGTCCTAGATTCTGGCTGGAGTGCAAGTTACTAACAAACATGCATAGTCCTTTGGATCTAGGTGCTGTATAGGAGAGTTGTGCTTGCATTCAGTGAAACATCTGTTTGCCAGACTTGGGACCACCTATGGTAACAATCTGCCTATGTTATGGTCCTGACAGAGATTCAGTTGTCATCATCCCTGGAGGTATTCAAAAGACATGCAGATGTGGCACTTAGGGACATGGTTTAGTGGTGGACTTGATAGGGCTGGGTTAATGGTTTGGACTGGATTTTAAAAGTCTCTTCCAAACTTAATGATTCTCTGTTCTGCCTCTACAAACCTTGAAAATTCAGACTATGAACTCGTGGTTACTTTTGTCACTGAGAAGAGCCCTGCCTGAGCGGAAATAAACCCTGAAATTAAATATTACTTTATATTATTTCATATAATAATAAAAATATTCAGGTTGGAAGGGACCTCTGGACAATATCCTGCTCAGAGCAGGACTACTCATAAATTCAAGTTGCTTGAGCGTTTTTCCACTCAAGCCTCCATGAAGGGAGATTTCATAGTCTCTCTGGACCTGACTATCCTCCAGGTGAAATCTTCTGTCCTTCTCTCAATACAAATCCTGCCTCTGTCTTTCCAGTAAGTTCCTTGTCAGTATTGGTAGGCTGCCCATTATTCTAGCTTGAAGAAGTGCTTGGGCCCACAGCATCTTTCACATGACAAGTGCTCCAGCCCCATCTTAGTGCTCTCAGCAGAACTCACTCCATCAGGAATTTTCTATATCAGGATTGTTCTACTGGAGACCCCCAAATTGGGCATCGTATTCCACATGCAGGCAAACAAGAGCCACATAAGGGAAATAATCACTTCCCAGTCACGTCCTGATAATCAATTTTCTGTGTTCACAGAATGGGCCAGGGCGGAAGGAGCCAGAGTGATCACCTGGTCCAACCTCCCAGCTCAAGCAGGGTCTCCTAGAGCATGTTAACCTGGGCTGTGTCCAGACAACTTTTTGAATACCTCCAGGGAAGGAGACTCCACAACCTCTCTCAGCAGCCTGTCCCAGTGCTCAGTCATCTGCACAGTAAAGAAGTTCTTCCTCGTGTTCAGGTAGAACATCCTATGCATCAGTTTCTGCCCATTTCCCTTTGTCCTATTGCTCAGCACGACCAAAAAGAGCCTGGCCCCATCCTTTTGACACACTATATACATTGATAGGATCCTTTCTCAGCCTCCTCTTCTCCAAGCTAAAGGCAGCTGGAGTGAAATCTTGATCTCTTTAACCTCTGCCACCAGGATGCTCCAACACTTCCAGCAGAGACAGTCAGTAAAGCCCCCACTCAGGATTGTCTCAGGGGGCTGGTCACTCCTAGATGGAGGACCACATTTGTCCTCGTTGAACTTAATGAGGTTGCTGACGTCCCATTCCTCCAGCCTGTCCAGATTCCTCTCAAGCAAATCAGCTTCATGTCAGCACTTTGCTGTCACCTGGACATGCAAAGATCCAGTTTAAAAAGACTGATTATGAGGTCCTGCCTTACTAATATCAAACAATAAAATAGAATAGAGCTACTTTCTTAAGAACCTAAAAGACAGAACAAATGAAATCCAGGTTCTCAAATTATTACAAAACTTAGTAATTGCCTGAGGTTTGCTGCCCTCCACAGGCTATTTTTATTATAGTTACAAAGAGAGTGTTTCACTGCGGACAGCATTGCTACAGTGCAATATTGTAAGAAAGATCTACTCTTGTGATTTGTATTAACATAAAATGAACAAGTGCTTTACTTAGTTATAGTGTGCTGTTGTGAAACATCACTATGAACAGGACATGGATGGACACCAAATTCCGCGTTGGAGAACAGGTCAGTGGAAAATAATTCAGCATAAGATTTTGGTATGGAAATATGCATTTATTCACCCACCTAAATCACAACTTTCTTCTGGATGAACAGTCTGTATGTGGGCTTGATACCAGAGAAGATGTTGTGTTTCACTGTGGAACAATGATTAGTAAAACTAGACTATAAGATGAAAAGATTTTAAAAACCTAACTATATGTGTGTATATACATACATATATATATATTTTATATATATATATATATATATATACACTCTGAATTTTATTATGAAAGTAAAATTATCTGCAGGAAGGACACATTTTAATTGCTTCAGGCAAGGCGAATCATAATAGAATACTAATTATTTATATAGTGGCAAGGCACATGAAAAACAAAGAGGTTACCATTTTCTGAATGCAGTGAGCAAGGAGTAGTTCCTGATCTGGCCTCGGTGTTAAGAATTTGTCCCAACCATCAGTTTGTCTCATGGAAACCACCTAATATCAGAACAGGAATGTAAACTGCCACCAAACCTAAACATAACGCTTGTGTAAACTCTTTGTCTTAAGCAGAATGAAGAAATCCTGGATGTGTTGGACAGCAGCCCTGAGCCCTGTGCAGCACCTCATTCATTACCGAGGGTGCTCCTTTGTATCGAGGCAGAAAATGCCCAAACTCTTGTTTATTTCCACAAGCCAGTTTGAACACAAGAGCAGTACGGACATGAGAGGGATGAGGCAGAGGTCTTACACAGAAGCACCCCCCTGGCGAAATCCCCTCATTTTGCCGATTCAGAGAGTCTGTGCAAGATGTGTTGAGACAAACCCGCACAAAGAACTCGGGGCCGCGGGTCTGTGGATGCTCCCAGTGTGCCTGCAACTGGAACCACCAAAATTCTGCCAGAGGTTCCGCATCTGTCCATGTGGGGGAACTTCTACCGGAGGCTCTGCAAATGGAAATCACTAAAATCGCGGCTCGAGACAGGTGACGGCACCGAGCGATTGTTTCTGGAACGTTTTATTGAAAGTTCAGTGGGAGATCCCTGCAGAAGGAAATGTAAACAAAAAGGAAAGAAAGGGAGGCACGGTCGCGGAAGAATGAAAAGCGTCCCATTTGAAACCGCAGGAAGCCTGGGAAGAGTGACTCTATAATCAACTTGATTCCTTATGTAAGTTATTAGTGGCTCTACAATCAATCTTATTCCTTATGTAAGCTATTACCAAGTCCCAAACACGCGTGCGCACGAGGGGGCGGCGCTCGCGGCGGGGGCCGGCCCCTCTCTCGCGCACGGAACCTGCGCCGGCGGCGCCGGCAGCCGCCCGGACCGCAATCGGTGCTGGAGCCGGCACCCGGACGGCAATTGGAGCTGGAGCGCGCCCCGCTCGCACGCCCAGGGTCGGTGTCCCGGCGGAGGCGGCTCCCGCTGCCGCCTGGAGGAACGGGGAGCGGCGCGGGGCTGAGCCGGCCGGTCAGCGCCGCCGCCGGCAGCAGGCAGGGACGGGCTTTCGGGTCTCGCCGGCTGCGCTCTCGGCAGGCTTCCCCCACCGGGGCAGGCGGCGACATGGGCGCCTCCCCGGTCTGCCGCAGCGGGTGACGCGGCCCGCCGCGGGCGGGGGAGTCGTGGGCTCGGGCAGCGGCGGAGAGCGTGGGTTCGGCCGGGCCGGTGTCGGGGCCGGGCCGGGCAGCCCGCGGGGAGTGGGGCGGGAGGACAGGGGGCTGCCAGGCCCTGCTGCCATTGGCCAGCGGCCGCGGGCCGCCCGGGGCATTGGGCGGGAGCCCCGTCAGTCACGGCGCTCCCGTCGCCTCGGCAACAGGCGGGGGGGGGCGGAGCAGGCCCGGGCCCGAGCAGTCACCGGAGCCCTCGCGGCTCCGTGGCCCAGGGTCGCGGCCCGACCCCTGCCCTGCCCTCCTCTGCCCTGCCCTGGGGCGGCCTGGCTCGACGCTGGCGTCTGCGGGCTCTTCTGCCGGCCTGGGGCGTGACTGGGGAGGGGCGACCACTCTCAGGCCCTCGGCTTGGGTCGCTCTGGGTGTTCTGGGGGCTGTGTTTTCATTACCTTTTGACTCTCCCTTTTTCTCTTCCCCCCCCGCCCTTCCCCAGGCTTCGTGCGTGGGCGTTTATGGGTTTGGAGGTTGTTTGTATTTTTTTTTTAATTTTTTTTTTTTTTAATTCCCGAAGTCGGTGAGATCATCCTGCCTGGAGGCTGCAGTGTGACAGAAATGCTAAATAGCCTTCTGGCTCGGGGAGGCTTCTTCAGCTAAACTCCGTACTCGCCTTGCAATCAGGTGGTAGTCTTTCAGAAAATGAGTACCTAATTGAACTGGGAGTAGTATTTCCGGGAAACAGGCTGAAACCTAAAGGAATAAGGTATATGTTAAAAATAGTTGCAAGCCTTAAAGAATAGGCTAGGGTAATCATGAATGAAGATCTAAAGGAGTAAGTCTTAGGTTGAAAATGCTAGAAAATGTAAGCTGTTGGCATGCGACCCCTGTCTCTCTGCAAAGGAAGAGTAATCCGAGTCATAACTGGATTCCGATTATAGTTTTTTGCATCTTAGTAGTTAATACCCTCTAACTTTTCAGTGCTCCGAAATACTCTAGTGCAATGTATCTCACTTTTGATGCAGTCAATACCCTTCAGCTTTCACAACTCTAAAACGTTTTAGGTGCCAAAGTACTTGGTTCTGATGGCATTTGATAAATAGGGATAGTAGTTGTCATCCATGGAGTTATGTTAAACAGATGGGACAACCAAGCACTTCACACTTCTTACTTTTTCTGAGTGAGTCATTTAAGGAGTGTGACTAATCATCCTACCATCCAGTTGTCAACAAAAGAGTATTTTTTCCTTAACTACCCACAAAATCAAAGAGATTTCCAGATTTTCTGTGGATAACTGAAAACTAAAGAACCTATCTTTTGAACAACACTTTAAATTTAGATTGAGGGGGACTACATGTGATGGTCTTCTTATCTAAAGAATATATATGGCATTTTTTTTCTGTTCAGCCATACAGCGATGTACCGATGTACCTGGGAAGTCGGTTAACTTAGAATGGTCATTGTCGGGCAAACAGCCACATACTGTTTTAAGGCATTTGTCTAAATAACAATCTCACGTGAAACTGAATTAATTTTATCAATCCTCTTTCTTCCCCCCTCCCCCGCTGCACCTGTGTCAAGTTTTAAGTCATCTGGGACAGAGGCACTTCAGTGTTCAGTGCAGTCTGGATTGGGGATTTTCATGGTAATAGTCATGATGGGTGTTGCCAAGGTAATGATAGTGCTGGCCGGGAGGTTGGGTGGGAACTGCTTTTGTTGTGGGGAAACCGATGTTGTAAGAGGAAGAGCTGGATGAGAAATTTGTGTTTAGAAGTGTGATATGAGAAGTGACCTGATTTGAACATAGCCCTTGTGGGAAATCGAAGTCAGCAGTTATCAACAGCTTGTGAGGCTGAGCCAAGAGGGCAACATTGATTAAAAAGAGAAAATATTATGGGAATGGAAAATGTCTTGAAGGGAAGATACTCAGATTAAATTTCTTTGAAGTTGAGTGAGTTAGAGTTAGGAGAGAAAATTAAATGCATCAAAATGCAGTGTTGGACACAGGAGGAAGATGATTGATTTGGAAGAAGTGTGTTTAGGAAGTGCAGTTACCTGGGGCAGGGGCTGGTGGGGGGAAGTAACATGAGGTGTGGAAATAATGAAACCAAGGATACATGAGAATGGATCCCACAAAGAACATAAAAAAGGTATATTTAAATGTATGCCAGCTTCTGCTGTTGACAAATACATTTTCTGATTTTATGTATCTGTTTGCAGTATTGATAAAGATTTGCTCTTTATTGATGTATTTCTAATAGTTAGTTGGTTTGGTCTGTTTGTTGTCTCATCACCTGTTCTGTGAAGACTAATCGTTGATTAGGCATGTGCTTAGAATACTGTTTTCTGTGTTTTCCCCGTGATCTAAACTTGAAGTGACTTTTATGTGTGTGTAAACTGACAAAAAGAAAGGTATATACCCACATGCAAGCAGCATGGTGCAGTGTGGTTGGGGCTTTTTAGCCTGATGGTCTCTTTTGTCAGGTGTCTGCCTCAGCAGGTGTTAGAGGTGCGTTTTGTTAAAGAGGAAGCTCAATTGAAAGGACACGTTATCTTCTTTCAAATAGAGAGTGGAAGAACAGGTTTCCTTTAGAAAATAGGAAAGTTGAGGAGTGGTCTGAGTGCTGATTGACCCGGGATTGAGTCCTAGCCAGGGGGAGGTGGTACTGACACAGAAATCAATGGAGATTATGCCTGTTTGACACTGGAAGGTTAATCTTTCCTTCTAACAGTGTCGTCCTGGTTCAATATTTGGTAAGTGATGAACTGTGGCAAAAGTACAGCCCATCTCTTTTACACCCATATTCTGGAGATTGATATCCCTTTGCTAGCTGATCCATGGATTAGAGAATGCAAGGGAAATATACAAATAATTGTAAGGATGTCAGGAGAGTCATTCCACCAAAAATGAATCTGAGGCTGTGTACTATGTGGGGGATATTACCGATGAAAATACTAATGTAATCTTATGTTGGGGTTGACACAAGTCTACGCCGGGTAATTGCAATCCAGTAATCAGAAAACCATGTTTTTAACTATACTTCAGCTTTTAAAATAGTCCCCACTGCAGTTGTATTTTACTTAAGAGAAAGGAATTAAATTTTATGTTAACTCCTTTAACTTTCTAAAATATAGTTATTTAGCTAAAAAAAAACCCAAAACTGTCATTGTATTTTTATTTTAAAGTTGCCATACCAACCAGTATGCCCTTTCAGTGAGGAAGGGGGATTGAAACTATTTTTCAGCAAGCTACAAGTATTTATATATTTGTGTATTTGAATAATAAACTACACTGTTGTCTTGGCAAATAACATGAAGCTTGGTTCACCTTAATCATCTTTAGCTGTTAATAAACTAATGTATTTGAAAATGCTGGGAACGTTTTACTGCAAATTAAGTAAATTCTTCCTGTAATTCCTGAGCAGTCTAATCTTCTGGTTTTGTCCAGGACGTCTTGGCATTATCGTTATGGATCGCTCCCGGCACCGTGCAGGAGGAAATGGCAACGAGCAGGCGCCTTCACGAGAGCGCAGCCATGGCGGAGGTGAGAGACAGCGGCAGCTGGAGCGCCTCAGCCGGGAGGAGGCCTATTACCAGTTCATTAACGAGCTTAACGAGGAGGACTACAGGCTAATGAGGGACAGAAACCTGCTTGGCACTCCAGGTAAGATGCGCATCCCTTCAGTAGAAGAGGTGTAATGAAATAATGCTCCTGCTTTTAGGCGCCACATGTGGTACTGTGACTCAAGTAGCCTGACTTGTGTGGCTTTGTAGAAAGGAAAAAAAAACTCTTTATGGTCAAGTATAACACTTTATATGAAGATGCTGCATTTGAATGTCCAAACTTAGATAATATTTGGTACATTCAAGTGTATCTGTTGATATGTGGCAATTTTGGGGGCCTCTGAATTGTTATTGAAAGCTGGCATACTCTCAACACATTCAGTATCTTTTTCTTCCACTCCACTACCTACTTCCTCTGATATCTGCATTATAATCACATTAGTGCTGTTTTCCTTCTGGTTTCATCAGTTTTATCTGTCTTCTGAAGATTTTCATTCAAGATAGAAAATGTTATTTCTGCATGGCTGTGTAGAAGCAGTAATAGTGTCTTCTCTGACAGTGTTATCAAAATGTAAATTAATTCAGGAGAAATAACAGCCGAAGAGTTGCAGCAACGTTTGGAGGGGGCTAAGGAGCGTCTGACGTCACAGTCTGATCTGGATAATGGAGAAGGTGAAGGTAGAACTGTTGGAGGTAAACATTATTCATTCATATATATATAGATGCATAGTATGTGGTGCATAAATACAATTCTGTAAAGATACTTAAGAGAAACTAGTTTCTTTTTTTTTCCATGTGCCTCTGGGGATTGTTTAAAAGTAAGGGAGATTTCCTAAGGATACAAATCTAAACTTGAAATACTTGATGAAAACTCGTTTATGTTAATCACAAATTACTAGCTCCTCATTTTCCTTTGTTAGTAAATGTAGTAGCACAAAAAATACTATTTTGTCAGTTCTTAGAGGTTTTTATCATGTATTAGAGCAGTTAGAAAAGAAGTTAATTGGAAAACAATCTCTCCACTGTTTTGCTACTTTTGTTGTTTCATTTCCTTTTGTTTTAGTCAAGTGAGGCTTGTATTTTATGCACTCTCTGTCTTCAGTTCCCCAGAAATACTGGCTTACTCATTTGGCCAATTCTAGTCAGATTTGAGAGAGGAATTGGCAGCTCGGAAATTAAGATACCGAAGTGGAAGATTCCTGGACACAGAGAGATGATGGAGTAGGGAGAACTTAGTCTGATCCCTTCAAGGGAAAATCTTCACTGTGATCATGACAATTGGCCTGCTTATACACAGTTAGCCCTAACCACAACACTCATGTCTGTTCCTGAGTGTGTAGTTGGAGAAGGTTTGGAAATGGAGCTGTGGATATTGAAATAGGAAAAGAGTATATTGACACAAAAGGAGAAAAATTGTTCAAACTATGCATCCCACCCAGACACATTCCTGTGTAAGCTGCTCTAGGCTGAGGAGTTGAACTAGATTACCTCCAGAGGTCCCTTCCAACCTTAATGACTCTGTGATCGTTTATTCTACTGCTTATAGGGAGCAATTTTTAAAAATGTTTTCCAAAAGAAGACAAGACTTGTTATTTCTTTTCCTGCTGTATCAAAATGAGTTATTAAAATATTCCCAAACTGGTGACTTCAGCAAGGGGCAGGTATTGGACAAATACAACTATCTTTGGACCACCTAAATCTGACCACTGGCTCAGAAGTGGCCACCTGGGCATATTAATTTCTCTGTGAGTCTGCTGGTGAGACAAAAATTCTAGGTTGAACTGCTAAGTTTTGCTGACATTTTTACATAGAGCATATTTTTGTACGTAAGCATAGCAAGGTAGGTGCTCTTCTACTGTATTATGTCTGAAGTCAGAGCATAACAAGTAAAGAGGATTTGGAGTGCATTGCAGTATGCAGAGCATGCAGTTGTATGAATGTTTGCAATTCTGTTTTTTTTCTCTCAGATTCTGAAGTTCCCGGGGAAAACTCCAACGGTGACTCTTTGCTTGAATGGCTTAACACATTTCGTCGCACAGGAAATGCCACTCGCAGTGGACAGAGTGGGAACCAAACCTGGAGAGCTGTGAGTCGAACGAATCCAAACAGTGGAGAGTTTCGCTTTAGTCTTGAAATCAATATAAATCACGATCATAACAGTTTTGAAGCCTCTGGTGAGGAGTATGTTGATATAGATGCTACCAGACTGTACGTAGAAAGAAGACGTCAGCTAGTTGCCAGTTCAATAGCCCCACGGACAAGGAGCATGGCTGCAAGAGAGGCAAACAACGAAGCTGCAAGGACCAGGCTTCTAAGACGTGCCATGGCATTAAGGTCAGAAATAGTCTCTCATGCAGTCTCGGGGAGGCTCAGGAGTAGAACGAGGGAGCTGACAGGCCAGACAAATAATAGTACTCGAAATAATTCTGTGGCTGCTGGTGAACCAAGAGAAATGCCACAAAGAGGTACTTCTGCAGGAGTCAGAAGGGGCAGAGCTAGAAGTAATGTCCGGCTGAATACAAACCAAAGACTAGAAATATTGCGGCTGAGGTCTACCTTAAGTAGTCGAAGCCGCTCCCCACTGCAAAGGGAAGGTGATGCTGCTCGTTCTGAGGAGCGTGGTCAGAGGCAGGATAGAAATGCACAGCCAGTCAACAGAAGTAGGAGACACACTGCTCAGGCTTCTCCACAGCCTACTGAGCAAGCAAGAGGTAACACTCGGGCTCCTCAGCTGTCCAGTGTAGCCCCATCCTCCTTGGAGGAGGAAGAATCTAGTAGGCCAGTAGCTGCTGTCAGAAGGCACCCAACAATTACACTAGATCTTCAGGTGAGAAGAATTCGTCCTGGAGAAAACAGAGACCGGGACAGCATTGCCAGTAGAACTCGTTCTAGAGTAGGAATGTCAGAAAACACTGTTACCTTTGAAAGTGACAGTGGGGGATTTCGGCGCACGATATCTCGATCAGAACGCGCGGGTATTCGGACCTACATTAGCACCATACGGATACCTCTTCGTCGGATTTCAGAAACGGGGCTCGGGGAACCTTCATCAGTGGCTCTCCGATCAATCCTTAGACAGATAATGACAGGCTTTGGAGAACTGAGTTCTTTAATGGAAACTGAATCTAATTCAGAAGTGCAAAGAGGCGGTCATCGCTTAGGTGGTGCACAGAATAACTCAAGTCCAGCAAACAGCAGTGATCCATTGTCTAGAAATGGACATGCAGTAGATGGCAGCAGGGAAAGAAATGGACAGAGGGGTGGTAGTCAACGCTCTGGGCGCAGTCACGAGAACCAAGACAGCAGGCAGTCTCAAGATGCAAACAACCTAGTGGAGAATGGAACGCTGCCCATCCTTCGACTTGCCCACTTCTTCCTGCTCAATGAGGATGATGATGATGATCGTTTAAGAGGTTTAACCAAAGAGCAGATTGACAATCTTTCTACACGGAACTATGGGGATGTTCACACTGAAAATGAATGGAGTAAAACTTGCAGTGTTTGCATTAATGAATATGCAACAGGGAACAAACTAAGGCAGTTACCTTGTACACATGAGTTTCATATTCATTGTATTGATCGCTGGCTATCTGAGAACTCCACTTGCCCGATTTGTCGGCAGCCAGTTCTGGGGTCTAATGCCACAGATAATGGCTAGAATTGTTTGTACTGCTCAGCACTCAAGGATTTGCTCCTGCTCTGTTATGAGCCAGATGAAATTCATTGACTTAGATATGGGTCCATTTGTGGAAGGAGGTTTGTTAATTGTCTTTAAAAACTATAGAAATTTGTCTAAATCTAACTGTAAATACTATTTTTTCCAAGTGCAGGTCTAGGAGCACACATAGAACCAAATGATATTGGTAAAGTTTCTATTTTTTTAGATAATTTTGTTATGCTAAGCACTTTTGTAAATACAGAAATGCAATAGTTAATCAGTCCTGCTTAATGTATGTTTTTTAACATTGTAATGGACTCGCTTTATTTAGATTACGAATTGTTTCACACAGACCCACCACTGTGTTGAAAATTTAGTGGCTAACTAGCCATTTGTTAGCTTTTTGTTCTAAGAACAATTTCTTTTACAGAGAGTCTCTTGCTGGACATGTTTGCTAAAGATATTTAAGTTACTTGAAGTGCTCATTTTAATATACTTTTAACATTGAAATATCCTTTCCAAAAACTTGCCAATTTGGTTCTATTTTAAAAATTCTATCACAGTTTTTGCATGTGGGTTTACACAGTTCTTAACATTGACGAGTTCTTATTCAGAAGTGGATGAGTTAGTGGCATTATGAAATGTACATAATTAAATGCTGTCTTTGACAATCTTTGTCTTTTCAGTGCAGACAGCAATCAAATCTGATAATTCCAAGAGGGTATGTCTTACTTGCTCAAAGAATGAATGAGTGCTAAGGAAGTATTTTTACTCTTCCAAATTACTCAATCAATATTCTCCTGGGGTTTTAACTGCCTTAGTTTAAAGAGGGGAAACATTTCCTTGACCATTATATTGTCTATAATATGCATGTTTTGGGCATCCTACTCATAAAAACAAAGCAAATACTTAAAGTGCTTTTGTACAGAAGTATAAGGTACACATGTAATGTTAGTCCTCCTGAAACATGCTTGAGGACCAAGTGGCAAAGGCACTAAAAAGGACAAAATAAGCTTCCCTGAAAATCCGACTATCTGTATAATTAGATACTAAACTTTATACCAATGACTTACACCAAAATAAAGTTGCAAGTTAAATAATTGAGGCTTTGTGTGAATTATTGTTGAGCCATAGCCTGTAGTTTAATAAGAAAGCTTAATATTCTTAATGTTCAGTCTCAGTTTTCACTTTATATTTCCCCGCTTTTCCCCAGCTCTGTTCCTGGCCTGTTAGTTGTTACGGTACATAAAAGCCCAGCACAAAGTGCTCCAGGGGTATCTGGGAGAGGCTGGCTGTTAAAAAGCTTGTCTTTTGAGCAGCCTGCATCTCAATCCCTAGAGAAATGCAGAATTGTGCAGTAATCTGCTGTGTGTACATTCTGAGCAGTAGAAAGAGTACTTGCAGTGAACAAGTCCTACTGACTTTCTCTGCCTGCAGATAGTGGCCTTGACAAATGTGCTTCTGTGCCAGGTGCGTCACTTAGAACATCTGCTCATGACATCCTTCAAGAGTAGCTATAAAATCCCATGTGAGCTGTTGGATGTCTGCTTCAGTTCTGCAAGTGGAAAACTTATGTCATAAATTCCACAGGAGGGCTTCTTTTCATTCCTGGAAGTAGTTCTAAGAAACTCTGTTATGAGATTTAGATGATTTAAGGATATGATTAAGATCTCTTCTGATGTAATTGGTGCTGTTAATTACTGCAAATGTTGTTGACCCTTCCCTTGAGTGCTTCCTTAACTGCAATAAAGAGTGAGGAGATTTAAATGTGATTATCAGAACTAGCTTATTTTTTGACATTTTTTTCTTTTACTTCTGTTAGCTCCTGAGGCTGACAGTATATCAATATATACATGTCTTCTGCTGCTTCTTTGTTTCTTTATGACTTACTTTTATGTTTAAAACCTGCCCGATTGAAAAGACACATACATAGAAAGTGGCCTTTGGCTCACTATTGCCTTGCTGGTCAGGTCCTTCAAGGTCAATTTTAACTCATCTTTACAACTGCTACACTAGTGCACTAGAGATGAAGGGAGATTGTTTCATTCAACTAGGAATTTTGCTGATTGTAAGAGCAAAAGAGTTGGTTACATGGTTCAAGATGAGATTGTCTGTGACAGGGTGTGTTTAACTGAGCTGCTAAGTGGAGTATCCCAAAGCAGAGTGAGAGCTTTCTGTAGAAATTGTAGGATATGGGAAAAGAAACATTAAACCTCCACTACTATATTCCTGCTCTGTTACATGAGAGTTGTCAAGTATTTTCCCTCCATTGGAAAAGCATGTAATTTGTTACTCAACTTTCCCGAGATACTGTGTTAATGGGACCAATTAAATCATAGTGATTCAGTTTGATATTGGCTTCTGTTACCTTCATTTCTGTGATAAAACTTAAGTTCTCTGCTACTCCCACTCTCTGAACACTTTTTTTACTTCATCCTTTGATGACGTGAAGAAATGTAATTTATTTATATCGAAATAAATATAAAAATATGGGCAGAGTTTTTATGAATAAGTTTATTTAAAATGAAATATTAAATGGAGTTCAACTGATAGTACTAGCCTAGAGCCTGTAGAAAGCCTTAATGTGGGAAAAAACCTAGAGAGCTGCCTTAAACATGACACCTGCAAAGATATAGAGAAATATATAAATTAATAGGTTTTTCTATTTCTTACATGTTTAATGCTATCAGTGACTTTCTAGCTGATATTATGGCCCTGTATGTCTCTCTAATAGTCTCTTCTTTAATAATATATCACACAGAAGTGGATTCCTGTGTTGCTAAGCAACACACACCAATTAGCAACAGTGCAAATTTGGAAATACAAAAGGAAAGTAAATGATAGCAGGTTATGTCCTGCCACTTCATGCTTTTGCCTTGATGGGAAATAACTATTCCACTTTTAAATTCAGATGCCACTTCCCCATGCCCAAGCTCCTTTTGAAGTAACCCTGTGCAGTTACCTGGTAACTACCTGATCAGAGCCAGACCAACCTGACCACCAGGCCAGCTAGGAATGATGTGGGGTGAGGCAGGACATCCTACAACTGTGTGAAGATACAGTGGGCTAAGTTGGTAATCAGAGTGTGCAAGGTCATGTGGGCAGGAGAAACCTCTTAATGGAAGAGAGTTGTAGTGGACTCATTCCAGGTCTGTTCACACAAATAAAGCAGCCCCTACAGGCCAGTATGGTGGGGCAGACACCTTTCTTTTAAGAAAGCAGCATCTCAAGTGCCAGTCTGCAGAAAGCTTGGGGAAAAAGCAGGAGAAATCAGGTCTGTTTGCAGTTCAAAGGCTGTGATCTCATAAGGATCACAGAGACCTGGTGGGATAGCTCACACAGCCAGAGTGCTGCGATGGATGGATACAGGCTCTTTAGGAAGGACAGTGATGGGGAGGAGCTGCCCTTTGAGGTGAGAGCAGCAGGAATGCATGAGCTCTGTCTCAGAGTGGATGAGGAGCCAGCTGAGACCAGGTCACAAGTAGTAGGCAGACCAACATGGTCACTGTGTGTCTGCTACAGACCACCCGTTCAGAAAAAGAGGCAGGTCGGATCTTCAGACAAACAGTCCAGAAGATCTCTGGATTATTGTTTCACAAAACATAGTACATACTCTTGCCAATTTCCTTTCTTTTAATATCCACCCCTGAAAAGAGACACATTAATTTGATTGTGGGTTGTAGGATTTACTAGTTCCTGATGAGGCTTTGAGACCTGACTCTCCTTTTGAATGCACTGACCATACATCAGTGCAGTCTGCAGGATTTCAAGGAGAGAGGGGCCAAATGTCAGAAAGCTCAGGATTATTGTTATCCAGTCATATACCATGGTTATAACTGGAGCTGTGCATACCCAGCTGTAGTCAGAGCAGCATTTGGAACAAAAGACACGGCCATGCTGCCAGTGCAGCACTCAGAGATGAGTCTTTAAAATTAAAAATATAATTAGCTCTCCTGAGATCCTGTGCAGCTAATCTGATTTCAGCCTGCACGCAGAAAGCATCAACAACAGGCAAGCACTGCCCAGCGCTGCAGACTTCCCTCAGCCTGCTCATGTTTGCGCTGGGATGGGGTTAGCCCACCTTTTGGACACACAAGGAACCTCACAGCAAAATGTCTCCCATTTCTCTTTTTTCCCCCTGGGCTTACACTAGACTTCAACTAGTCTGAAAGAGACCTGGAGCAGGTTCACCAGATACTCAGTGCACGTTGCTCCTTGGCATTCACACTTACTCCAGAAGGTGTTTATCCCAGCACTAAATTTATCTTTAGTGTAATGTAAATTGCCTGAAGTGCAAAAATGAAACATATACACACTAAAACAAAACAAATACAGCTTTGATTTTCTTTTACAGGTTGAACAGCTAAAATGGGATATGTGGGATCACTTTGTCCCATTATTTTAAGCAGTCATTTTGAAGGCTGAACTACAGGCATTTATAACCCACAATTGGTGTTCTTGACCTGAGCAAAGTGGGACAGATAAATTATATTGCTTGTATTTCCAAGAGAAGCACCTGAATCGTACGTTGAACCTTTCCATCTCATCAGTAATATTAAGACTTCAACTTGGCCAGTTCCATTGTGATATATTTCCTTGCACAGCACTGTTTCTACAGTACTGAACATCTGACATACCTTACAGAGCCCGTGAGCTATTTTTGCAGTTCACACACATTTGAGCTACATTAATAATGGCTCACTCTTTACCTTCAGGCATGCGTGCCCAGGAAAGCACATCATGTTGCTATTTTAATACAGAGGTCTTGCCCTTTTCTAAGTGAGTAATGCATGAATAGAGCACTTTGGCTGCTGGTACCATGTCTTTTACTGTGTTCTTAAACACATTTATTCCATTTGTTCAATTTTATCAGCATACATATAAACACTGAAAGAGTAGGAATTGCCAGTGTGTGTATGAGTATACACAGTAGTTAGCCTGCATAATGTGTAGCAGTTAACTTGAATATACATAGTGAAAGTAAAGAATTATATTATTTCATCAAAAGGTCTCTAAAATTTAGCCTTCTCCCCCCTTCATTTTAAGGTATCTCCAAGTCTAGGCTCCAATTCTTATTTCTTGTTACATGAATCTCAAACTACGATTCTGGCCTCCCAGCTGATTTCAGTCACTCATTATTCCCCTGCATCCACTGTGCCCTGACATGAATCAAGTTTTAGCTCCTTTCTCTATGATCTAGGCTGTGAGATGTGAGTAATGCAATTTGAGGCATCCAAAACCCCAGGAAGTACCGTGATGAGATTCCTTCTCATTATGACGGTGGTAGAAATGGGAAAGGCAGAACAATTTGAATAACCCGGACTATTTTGGACAGAAGCACACTAAGAGCAAGAGCCTGTGCAGAGCCCCAGCGTGCAGGGCCCCAGGGCAGCCCATGGCACATCCTCGTGCGCTGCCTGGACCAGCTGAATTTGGATGAAACTTCGGCTTCCAAGAGGAAGAGCCTCGCAGCAGGAGAGGGCGCCAGACAACAAGGAGCAAGTGATGGCTTTGGCGGCGCGTCTGGGAGCACAGACCTGCCTCTGAAGGAGAAGGTGACCGGCAACAGGGCACCGTGTGACAGCCTTCTCTTTAAGGGGAAGGGAGCACTTCAGCTTCGAAAACGCTCTTCTGTCGAAAGGAGCGAAAAAAGTCTGAGGGTCCACAAACAGAGAGTTTTTATCAGCAAATTTCCACACACTTGATGTGGAAATTGGTATGTTAGTCCTAGACCTGCTATACAGGTACACGGCACTGGGGTTTGAATTAAGAGGTAGGGTGAAGGGAAAAGGGAAATTAAAGAAGTTAATTAAAAAGAGAAAAATTAATTTTTAAAAGGAAAAGACAAAAAGAAAGGGGAAGAAAGAGCAAAAGAGAGATGAAAAGGCATCATCAGCCCTTTATCCAGCATCGATCCAGCTGATAAGATGTCTGTCCTTGTTTCAGCATCAGTCCAGCTGATAAGCAGTGATCCATTTGAGCCAGTCCAGCTGATGAGATGTCCGGGCTCTGGGGGCACCACCTGGGCTTGGGAGTACCTTTTTATTGACTACCCCAAAGACATGTTTTTCATTTTCCACGTTAATTAATTACCATTCAGTCTGCCCTTTCAGGCTTTTCTGGTAATGGGTCAGAGGGCTTCAGGAGTCTTTGGTGGTTGATTTGAAATAATGCCGAGGAAAGCCAGCTCCCAATCTCACTTTATAGACCATGTCTACTTCCTGCCAATCATTCCTGCACTCTGCTGTACTGTGCTGCAGTTCTTTCTCAAGGAAAAGTGCTTTCCTGTCTCCACCTGGCCCCCCTTCTCCAGCCAAAACTTGTTCTTTCTTCACAGCGTGCTAGTACCCATAGTCCTTGGTTATTACCAACACTTCTCATCTGTTATTACAAACAGTCCTTGGCTGGCTCCACAGTCATCCCTTCATCAGTGTTTGAGACACACACATCAGCCCCTTATCTTTTGGGAACTGAGAGCTCAAAAGGATCTCCCTTTGGACCATTGTCCACAGAGTTATAAGAGAATGGGGTTTAGTCATAATTATTTTTCATACTGGCCACAATTCAAGTTGGTAACTTTCTTTGAAGGTTCGTCAAGAGAAATACTATTCCACTCGGGTTGTTATTCAGGCAAGAAAAATAAGTTTCCAAGGCTGCTTGTAAAAAACAAATGTTCACTAGACAACACTATTTCCTGGGAACAGACAGTGTTTCTGATAAGCCTGGAGAGAGGCTTAATCCAAGCGCAGCTTGTCAAGGCCGAGACTTCATG